AGACATAGTTCTCTCATTTTTTGAAACGTTCCATCACTTTACAAAAACAAAACAAAACACAAAATAAAACATAACGTGAATTCTTAATTATTGTTTTTCTTGATAATTTGTCCCCAGATGATATCACAACCAGCACATTTCCCGTTCCTCCTCCGGTAAAACACATCAGTTCGCCTTTTCTCAAGCTTACAAGGTAAAGAATCTCGTCATCTTGTTTCCTCTCCACGTAACAACCGAGCAAATTGGGTTCCTAAGAATTCCTTTCTAACTTCCACGGGATGCTCTGACTTCTTCACTTCTACTCTATGTCTCACGCTCTTGACAAAACGATCCACATCTTTGTCAATTCTTTACACCCTAACATCCGAATACATATTTTCCATACTCTTCCCTGTACATTGCTTAGGTGCTGACAATAGGAATTTCTTCAACAATCCAGAGTTTCTTCAGTTGGTGATCGTCTCCTTTGTTCTCATGACTTTATTGTGTAATTCAGGGCAAATGTTGTAAGGAGAATTTGGATGCTAGTCTCTCTTAGGAATCCAAGGGTCAATCCGAGAACCGAACTCAAAAGTTACCATCTTTCTTATTCGACTTAAACACAAACGCATACGACACAGCTGATCCTAACAGTATGCAGGACACCTGTCACAAGTGAACTGTGGACATATGGACGAGCTCGAATTCGAGATTCATCCCCTTCGTTTCACCAGTCTGCTTCTCTTTGCAGCGCCTTTGGAAGCAGACTCGTAGGATCACATTTCATTCCGCGTCTAAATTTCAAACCCACTGTTGGTTTTGTAGATAATTTAATTTTCCTCCTTGAAATTATGATGGGGGCATTATTGCAGAAGTCATGTTGTAATTGCATTAGAAGACGTAGACAAACCTGTTTTGAGAAGTTATGGAAAACGAGAGCGTAAAGTGGTTCGGCCTTGTTAGGATTGTTGACAACAACGGGAAAAATGAATAGTGTCGTTTTTCTTTTCCTTAACAGGGTCCCACGGCCAAAATTTGAAGGCTCCCTGACTGATTTGAAGCTTTCAACCCATGGCGAAGCTAAGGAGTTCACCACTACAAAAGGTGTGTTTTGTTTTCTTTGCAATTTGAAGTTTCGCAATGTCTTAATTATTGTACAGGTTAAGCCTTTAGGTTTGAGTTGCGAGCAAAGAAAGTTTTTTTGCTGTTGTGCTCATTATCCTAGGTTCCTGAAAACGGATGCAATGTGTCTGCAAGACTTCGTAGAATCTCTTTTTTTTTTTTTTTACTGAAGTTGTTTACTGCACTTTTCGATGGTTTGTTTTACAACAAAAACCGAAGCAGTTAAAAGACTCACAGTGAATCACAGGGTGCCAATGAGAACTCATATGCGAAACAAGGAAACTGCCTTAAGCGCGGGAAAACGCGAGTGACCAAGTCACATCTCATTGGTAGAGATGGGCACGGTTTTTCTTGACCAATCACAGTGCGATGGAAAGGATTACTTTCGACACACAATTGAGAATCGCTCCAATGCGAACGCCGGATGTAATTTGTTCCCTGAAAAGTCATGGTCCTTATTTCATCGCTACAGTGTAGTTGTGTATGTTGGATTTAAGCTGAAGTTGCTAATTTCTGCTCCATCGATTATTTTTCAGGTCTGTTAGATCATTATCTCAAGATGGTTGACGGAAATGCCTATGGTGAAGAAATCCCCATAAAGTATTATGTCCACTTTGTGAGTATTTGTATTTCTCAGTTAAGAGTTATTCAAGTTTGCACTTCCATTTTCTTCAACGATTATTGTTCTATAAGAATAATGTTAGGATTTCGAAATACGTTGCTTGAGAACGTTTTTCCATTGTGCTTCCAAATGATTGCCGAGAGACCTGTTTACATACTGGGAAAATATATATTTCATTATGGAAGGAATGAGGACTTCCTCCTAAACAATGACTTTCGTGAGATTGGAGTCGATGATCGGGACCTTCAGCAAACCTCGAAGGCGACGAGAACGAGGACGCTGCAAAACAAAAGATCTAATCAGTGGAAAAGTAACTTAGTGCGTGCGTTTGAAAGTGTGTACATTTCTTAGCCGTCCTCTGCAAAACAACGGGCACCTTAAGCAAGCCACGACGGCGACGGCAACGAGGACATGGAAAAACAAAAGGTCTAATTGGTAGAACAATAGCTCAGCACGTTCGTATTAAATCTTTGTACATTTCTTAGCCGTCCTCTGCAAGACAACAACGTGAAATCACCATAACTTGCGTCGTCTGTGAGCCGAAACCGCGACGGCAAATTATTTCAATTCCATTTGGAACTCAAAGCTTCTTTTATATGCTATGTTGAAGTTGAGGTGTGGCGCCGTATGAGACAGTAAACAAATGCAGCCATTTTTAAAATTCTAATTAAAGGCAGAAATTCATTTTTTAATCAAAGTCTTCCTTGGCGTTGCCGTCCTGACTGCCGAAGAAGGTCCCTAACAACGTGGAATAACCAAACTTAACTCGACGCTGCATTTATATGTTTTGCTGAAGTTGGAGTGTGGCGCTGCAAGAGATAGTTAATGGTTCCAGCCATTCGCGAAATTCTAGCTGAAAAAATAATTTTGTTTTTGATTGACTTCTTCGTCGTCGTTCCCGTTCTTTCAATTTTAGTTAATTTTTTTAATAAAATATAAATGGAACTGTGATTATCTCTTTCAACAGACAGATTCTTCGACTCTACCTATTCCAACGATTATCTATGCTTTGGTTCTGAAATTTCACACAGACAGAAGATACAAGCAACTCAAAGGTTGGTTCGTTGCAGTTGTTTACAACTTCTTGCATCGTTTGACTCCTCTGCTTTGGTTTGACCAAATCAAAGGAGTAAAATAGACAGGGGAGGGAAAATTATTGCTTGGAGTCAATTAGAACTCAAAGGAAAGATGTATAAACCGCCAGAAGCGCTAGTTGCACATGGGTTTAGTTTTGCAGTGATTGCGTTAGCGGGTGTTCTGAGTTTTTAAGACCAATCTTAGCCTAACCCCTGCAATCCCGAATTGCAAAATTGCTCTGAATTTTGATGTGCCTCTGTTTGTTTTGATCTCTCGTAATAATAAAATTGTGCATGTTTATAATGGGCTTTTTATTTCTGTTTAGACATTCACATCTCATACTTATCGGCCGCTAAGTCGACATCTCCATCTGAAGGTGAGAGCTAATCGTTATTAAAATGTACCTGCGTAGGCAAAGAGGCGTAGGAAACAAATGTCCTCACACGCAATTGGAATTAGAGAAAGGGGGGGGGGGGGGGGGGGGGGTGGTTTCTTTGAAACACTAAATGCTCTTCATTTTTTTCCAGCTTTGTTATTGTGCTAGGCTCTGTTAAGCGTTACTTGGCTGTATTAAGCTGAACATTTTTCTTTTGCATTCCACAGGCTGTTATGTGATAACTGTAAACTTTTGCCCTCTCGACCCAGTACCTGCCGTGTTCAAAGTTAGGTAAGGTTTGTGGAAAATTGCAACTAAAAAGGACAGCATAGCACGTGTAACTCGTTTTATACAATTGAGCACAAGTTTGAGTAGAGAATCTTACTTTGATATATCCAATATGTCGGCGGTTTGTAACCATTTAGCTGACTCTCTGGTTTGTTTTGTTGCAGCCTATTCAACATAACCCTTCCGATTTTTAGATAATAAGTAAGAAAAGAGTTCACTTTAAGTGATCGATGCCCACAAAGTATGTTAAGGGGGGTGGTTCGATTTTTCTCATCCTATTTTCAAATTAGTTTACTAAAAAGCCCCCACTGAAGATGTAAAGAATAAAAACAAAACAAAACAAAACAAAAGGATTGAAGTCTGTCTCGCAACTGTAACAAGCTTGGGTGGATGCCAACGCAAACTATACAGTTTTTGGACCGTTCTTTCCGACTTTTATAGTTTATTAAACTAGGCACCCGCCTACAATGGCAAAATTTAGGGGTCTTAAAATTGTTTGATTTACCACTATCACCTTAACACTTTACTCCTTAAAATATGATATTTATATTCACCACAATGCTCTCTCTACATTTTCTTTGAGAATGACCAGGCGACTAATTTATTTGACAAGCAGGAGCTTGGTGATCATTTCCTTTTTTATCGTGACCTTAGCATTTGATTCAAGGGTGATACTGTAAAGAAAAATTTATAGCCAGTCACTCTTTGGAATTTGAAAAGGGTTGAATATGCTTCACAACGAAATATTAAACTGCTACTCTTTACTTTCAGAGCGATATTCAGTGATGATAATGGTTTAACAAGTGCAATGCAACTGGAGAATTTGCCAGTTCAGTTTTGTGACTTGTTTAATCCTCTTCAAGTGCCAGCTTACTTCAAGGTAAAACGGGAGGGAATAATTGATGAGCACTGACGTAGTTTCGATGTATTTCAAATAGTGAACCGTTCAGTACCAGACCACAAAATTTCGTCTTTTCTTTCAGACTGCACCGGTAACGAGTGTCAGAGCAGAACTTTTCTCTGTGCTGTGGGATCACATAGTTAAAGTGCAGCGCACCAGGTATTCTTTACGAAATCATTGACTTCTTTGCCACAGAATGTTCCTCTAGTAATGGGTAACTTTTGAGATGAGATAACCTTAACTTGTTGTCAATCGACTGTTTTTGAGTTAGGGGAGGGGTAGGTGGGCAGTTACCCAGATACTGATATTGATCCCAAGTTTGAACCACGTTACTACAAGTCCGTGTTTTCATTTTCAAATACACTTACGTGTAGGTTAGACTGATTATGCCGGGTTGAAAGTAAAAAACCCCCGAAAGTTAAGATGTACATTAGGGATAAGCAATCTGAATCGATGAAGGTGTTAGTTATTAAGTTAATATAGATACTGCCACGGTTTAGGTTTCTAGTCTTAACCAAAAAGCATTCTGTGGATGAGATAATCCTACTTTTTATGGCATCTCTTCGGATAACTGTTTTTGTTAAATCGAAGCAGTTATGCATTTTTGTAGTTTTTTGTATTTTCGTCTTTCTTTCGGTTCAGTCTCACGTCGCAATGCCAATTTGTTCAATATGGTTCTTACTTATTCTAATTTTTCTCTTTTACTACTGGAATCTCAGTTCTTTAATTTGTTTGCATGTGATATTGCAGTGAATACCCCGCGGGGACTGGGGCTGAATCAATCATCTCCCTCTCGGTGAAGTGGAACACCATGGGAAACATCTTAGAGGAACACTTGCTACCGTTTGTTATGAGTGCTTCAGGTCAGTTTGGCTGGGTATAAGAATATTTTAGATTTGAAATAGTATATTTCTCCTTAGTTGTTCCTTTGCTTTCTCCAGTTGTTTTCCCTTCTCTATTAGCCATGCGTCACGTGCTATGTGTTTTTAACCAATGGCTGTTATTTTCTAGATGATGAAGTTCACCTTGGTATTTTCATGCCACCTTGTCAGCATCTTTTACTAAAATTCCGTCCACTAAACGATCTAACTGTTGTTACCATGGCGACTGATGATTGGCGGCTACTTCAACTTGTGGAATCTTACCTGCAGCAATTCGAACACGTCAACAGATAACCTCTTCAGAAGATTTACTGTAAACTCATTTATTACAAAGCTAGGCGCCCAGACAGAAATAATTTCTTTATCGAACTTATACGTACCACGGAAAAAGTGTGGTTTAACAGCCGGATGATTTGATTAGCCACAGATCTCTGTTAGGGAAATTTGATTGCTACCTCAAGGACATGTTGCAACGAATGAGCAAGCTACTGCTCTCTTTCAAGTATCTGGGATTTTGCAAAATATATTCAAACTTTTCAAAACATGAAAGGGTTAAGGAGTGTTACCAACTCCAGGAGATCGATCAACGCATGGGCTCTGTGTTTAAAAAAGTACGGAGTCTTAACACTGTTTCTGAATGTTTTTTGAGGAACACTTGTACCTGAATTAAGGTAATTTTATATATATATTTTGGAAATATTTTGTCTTTAGAGAGAAAATTGTACACGAAGTACTTCTATAGAAAAAAAGGCATAGAGGCTAAGTCTACCAACCCCACCCTTCCTAACTAAAATTATTACACTTATGAAGGTTTAGTAAATAAACACAGACTTGATGTCGTAAATTTTTTATTATCTTCCTAGTGGTGAATGATTTATAGACCTAAGTTATAACTTCATGGCAACACTTCTTGTTTCCAGCCGTACGTAGCTTATTAAAAATTTCATCTCCCTTCTAATTGTATCCCAAGGTTTCCACTATCACACAGAAGCTGGAAAGTTGGTCGGTTTTATAGATGGGGACTAAACGGGTCAATTTTTTAAGTTTTCAGTCTGCATATATGCATGTTGTCCGAAACGTCAGATATCGAAAGAAACGTACTGCATGAATTTGTTCTGATATTTAGCCGACATGGCGACCGGAAAGAAAAAGGGGTTTTGAATCATGACGTTGGTCACAAACGCGAATGATCACCTGCGCGGAAAAGGAGAAGGATTACAGTGACACTTCCCCAATTTTCTTACCCAACTTTGTGACTGTAGATGTGATCATATTGCCCCGTAACAATGCCACCAAGCCTCCCTCCCCCGCCAAGTATTCTAGTGGTGGAAGCGTGACGAATCAAACAGCGGCTGTAAGAGACTTGACAATTACATCAAGTCACACGGAAACAACCAATAGACAAGAATTTCACTTTTAGTTTTACCTTTAATTGGTGTCGCTGTCTAGTTTGTTTGGCTTTTAAACTTCGATAACTACACGATGGATATTTTAGGATTTTTATTTGTGTGTGTGTGTGTGTGTGTAGCGAGCAGACACTGGCCACTGCCATGCAGATATGTCTGGTTAAGAGAACGACGAGAGTTTTCTTCAAATTTCAGATTCAAGATGCTCTACGATGAAAAGAGGAGAGAACTTGAATTTAGCATGAAGGAAGAAAACTTTCATTTTCTTGAATGTTCCAACGATTGTCTCAACGCAAATTCATAGCTAGCGTATTAGTGTCTGGTAAAGATTGCAACCACTGGATACATTTTTGTCTGTAGTCCTGAGAATTACCCACCCTATTCAGGGGTGTTACTTGTGAATATTTTTCACCGTCATTGTCTGTCGTAGCTGTTTTCTTCGGAGTATCTGTTTTTCTGCGAAGTAGTGACTTTCTTGCTTTCATGCCCTTCGCGGTTTGTCCAGTATTAGCCGTCCTGTTTTGCCCTCTGGACTGCTGTGCTTGTGGTTTAGCACTAGTGTCAGCAGTCTTCACCCCTATTCTATAATTCAAAGATGAACTCCTGTTGAACCATTCTGAATATCGACTGGGCAAAAATGTTAGAGCCTCGTCCGGCTTCCATTTCCCAGCACTCCCAAAGGCCCTTGTTCCCTTATTTGGTGTTTTACTTTCACTTGCATCCATCCGGGACACCCCTAAAGTTGTGTGCCGTCCATTTTCCCGCCAAATGTCTGCGCCGTAGGCGCTGTTGGCGGGTGTTTCGAAAGATACCTTGAGAAGGGGTAGCCCGTGGACTCCCTGTGATTCGCAAAGTGTGGTTCCAGTCTTTTCTGGGTCAGAGCTTCCAGATACTCTGCGAGGCTTAAATCCTTCGTCGTGGAAGTCAAGTGATGTGGCGGATTTTTGAGCCAGTGCCGGCATGCTGCCGAATTTTCGTGTTAGGGGTACCGTCAGGCAGTCGTTTGACGTTGTCATTTCGAGACGAACAGAATGCACGAAACGGCTGGAACGAAAAAGTAATACTGTAATACACTGGAATGTTTAGTTTCTGCTCAGATTTTTTTCTTTCTTCTCAATGGAGATAGTTCAATCACATATAAACTCACTTTGCCAAATCAATAAATTCCCTAGCATAAAAATGATGGGCCAGGACTACTACTTGGCAAGAGGCCGAGTAAGCGAGGGGGTGGGGAGTTAAGTTTCTTGGTTAAATCAACCGAGTTGATGATGTAAATTGGCTAACGTAATGTTTTTTTTAAAGCTGATTTTTCGAGCGTCAGACCTTCGAAACGCCAGCTTTAGAAACTTTTTACAGTGGCGACGCAGTTGATGAAACGAGAAGGGTTTCTCCCGAAATTAAAACTAACCGATTTTCTTGAAATTGAATAACGTGAATGATTTTTTCCATGAGAAAAGGAGGCATTAGTTAGGATGTGACAATTCAACTAAAGATGATAACTGAGATCTCTTTCCCAAGACCTGCTCACTGTGAACTCGAACTCTTGCAAGGCCACTTTATTTGGCAGACCTAATTTCGGAGGACAGCAGTATGTAGTCGTCAGGGACGTAGCCAGCTTCGACTTGCCGTAGGCCTGTACCGTGAGAAAGTTCAATTTCTGTCTAAAAATTTGTAATAGTTGTACTATAAAAGCGGATAAGTGGGCGGAAACAAATTGTAGGCCTGGGCCCTCAGGACTATGTGCAGGCTACGACCCTTGTCGTGAAGTCGCGATTTATATCGGAAGTGATTGAACCCACAACCAATTAGGCCGTCATTAAATGCAAAAGGACTCTAACAAATGGAAACGAGGATTATGCACCGGCTGTTAGCAGCACGAAAACAGAAACGTGATACTTTTGTTGTATTTGTTGTCAAATTAAGAAAATATCAGGCCATGCCTTACACAATAAAATTGGCTTTGAGTTGAGGAAGGAATTTTAAATATATCCGGATAAAGGAGTTATGTTGTTTTCTGGAAAAATACTGAAAATACCGGAGAGTTTGTATCATACAATGTTCAACTCCATGTGTAAAATCCTCTCTTGTTATGTGTCATTCAGGTATTGCTTAATTATAAAGCTGTTTTGAAAAAAAAAATTGTGTTATAAGATTTTTTAAAATGTTTTCGTTTTAAAATGTGTATAGTCTGAACTGTAATAGAATAACGATGTTAAAAGGTTTTTTTTTTAAATCTTTCAATCGCCGAATTTCTCGTACCGATCGAGTCTCTTGGTCAATCGCCACTCAAAAGACCTGTCACAGCCCTCTGTATGGCATTAGAGTCGGCCCTTGATTTCGCTTTCAAATAATGACATAGCCGCCCAATGCACCATCACCAGCCGCTTATGGAATAAAAGTTATTGAGATCTCCGCATGCATTTTATTTATGGCCACGAAGATCTATTTGAATCTGAAATAATTTCATTTTAAGATCTGATGTATATTCAGTATTATCTTGATCCCACACATGTCGGTGTTGTGTGATATTTAGTGATGTTTATCGGTCTTCTTTGACGTAACTAAGAGCTGCTAAGAAAACCGTGACCGAACGTTTATCACAAACTTGGAGTCATTTTCATTCAGGCAGGTTTGAGTTCGAATAAAGTTTTCTTGTAATATCTAACTCGTCTTAACATAGATTAGCGCTGTTGTGATCAGTGACAATTTTTTTTCGAATCGTATTTTCCATGAGAAACGAAAACAAATCATGAAGTTTGTCAACACATTCAAGCTGGATTTCTCGCACAAATAGTTCACTTAGCGAGCAGTTTTCCGACACCTTTGGCAATTTAAATTCGCACACATGAAAGAAGAAAACTTGATATTTCTTACCGTTTCTAAAAAACTGCTCCGCTAAACGAATTACTTCTTTACCCCTGCTTTGTGAAATTTCTTTTTGTGTATTTGGCAATCTTTTTGACTAAAGAACTCAGCGATTTCCTGAGAACTAGAAAGTTCCCATGCCAATAAGAATTGTTGCTCGCGCAGGTGTTTTTAAAGCGATTGGAAACCCATTTGTTAGTGCCTTAGACGTCAAATATCCATCATCGCGGAGGCGGTATATATATTAGGTTTTTAAATTATTTATTTAATGCATTAATGTCATTGGTAATTTCAATCATTCGTATACGCAAATAGATTCATTTTGTTTGTAATTTTCCCAGTTGGAAACTCTTCCATACGTCATAGGTTTACGATCTAGCAGGGTTCTTTAAAGGAAATATTTTTTTGCGGTGCGTTGTTAATACGGAGGATTAAAGAGTTCATCCCGCAGCTAAGCTGCTGGATTCTTCACTACAATTCTGTCCCCATAGATTCAATTTCCGTTTCTATTTCGGTGGAAAGAAAGAAATATGGCTCAATTAAAAAAATAGTTTGTTTTCCCTTTTTCCACAATTTCCAAGTACCTGGTGTCATGGTTATGTTTTTATTCGTTTAGCTTAAAATTTGAATCAGGAAGGAAATTTTTTTTCTATTTCCCTTTTTTTCTTTTCGTAAAATGCATTAAGCCTAGTGAAAGTTAGTTATTCCCTAGTTTTTCCGACAGTAATTATAGTTGTTAATTGGAAATGGAGGATAACCATATATATTACGGAAAGCCAACGTATGTAAAGTTTGAGATCGTCGCTGCAAAGAGGAACAAAAAAACACATACACACACACGGGGGAGTGCAGAAGAATAAAATATCAAACAGATTAATAACAGAAAAAACGGAGCTGTCTCATTTCTTTGCGGCTCTTCGTTTTTTTTTTTTTATTCTGAAGGAAAATCAATCATTGAAAATTTCATTCATTGAGATGAAAAGCATCTTAAAAGGTTTGCCATCAGTCGATGTTGAAGATGAAAAAAAATGTTTTTAATGCTGCGCTTCTGTTAAGAGTTCCGGCGCCTCCATATGAGCCAGCCGGTGTTTATATAGACCATTTTTCATGTAGTTAGATAGAATTGTTGTATTTTCATTTAATGGTCAATACAAGCTCTCGACTTAAATCAACAGGAAGTTGTCGAGTTTCTATTTTTATTTTACTGATATCTTGTTCATTGACGTGAATATAACAAGGCGCCAACCGTATTTCGTTTTAATTAATTTACTCCGCTTTTTTTTCCCGCTTTTTTGAACTAATATGCGAGTTAAAATTTATATTTGTTGACCTTTGCCTGAAAGAGGCATGAAGCGTGAGGCGGGACATGAACATTTCATTTGCAGAAGTCAGTTGTTTTCTCAAGAGAATTCTGCTATTTTCTTGTTGTTTTAATCCAGTTTTTGGTCCGCTTCAATTTCTGTTATTGTTTCGTTGCATTAGTTTATTTGTTTGCCTTTCTGGTTAATATATGATTAAAATTTCTGATCTTCGCCGACAAAATTCTCGTTGACTTATTTCAACGTTAATTTAGAACCCACTCCAACTCTTCTGAGCATATCATATTAAACTGAAGATGGTTAGTAAATTTAAATTGACAAAAAAATTATAATGTCAAGTTTACGTTCATTTCATCTTCCTTGCATCATTTCCACAAAGTCCAGTTGATTATTTACGTCAAAAAAAGGAATGAACAACTTCCA